GACAACTTAATAAACAAGAAACATAAGGAGGCTTATATTAAGCATCTGCACAGATAAAACAAGGAATCAAAGACAAGCTAGCCCATGGTGTAATGGCTGCAGATCTCTGGATATCAAAAGCAGTGAATCTTGCCCAGCACGGTTGTTCCAGCAACTTTTTTCAATGGTTAGTCTGTTTTTCTTAAAACCAACATCGTTCCAATGCTGGTAGACCCAACAATCAACCATTCAGAAAAAGCCCTTCAAATCAGTAATTGGCGACAGATCCTCCTCTCTGGTAAGTTGTTGACCACAACAGCATGTGCTTAAAGTAAAAGTGATTTGGAAAGGAGAATACAACATGGTCAGCTCATTCTTGAGTAAAAACATGTTTCAAATCAAAGCCAGGCAGTGTCTGCCAGTCCTCTGAAGCTATGCTGCATGTTACAGTATGAAGTTAGAAACAAAACTCCTTCAACTGAAATATTACTGAAAGGAAGGTTTGTGGCCAGCAAATAAAACCTCCTTTGGAGACTTGTGGGCTGGCTGATCATTCTCTCGCTGTACCAAGAGGGATTGACTGAAACACCTCATTCTTTGTAGCAGTATCTTGGCACTAGATGCGAAGTGAATATAAGAACTTGGTGATTGAGGGCCCCTTTGAGGAATGCTGCGGCAGCCGAGCACTCCTCTCTAAACACAAAGAGCTATGTCAGCGGTGCAAGATGACATGCTTCTTCCTGCCACTGAAAACAGACTTTTGTGGCAGAAACTACCTGAGCTTGACATTGTAAAATTAATTCCTTATGCTCTATGTACTAAAAGAAGCCCAACTGAACTGGGAAAGATACATCCTTACCCAAGCTATATGCAGAAAACAGCTACAGGAGCCTGGAGCTTGGTAGCAGGAAATGTGTGGGAAAGCCATCTGGTGAAGCCACTTAAACAGTGTGAAAGTCTCTTTTCTTTTTTTTCATTCACTTCCTGACAAAGTAGTAATATGTTGCCTCATTATAGGAAGGGGGCTGCTTGTTATTATTTGCATTAGTAGCTCCTAGAAGCCCGAAGGTGAGGACAGGACTCTTGCTATGTTAGTTGCTTGTGGGCATGTGTAAGAGGAGACCTTTCCCTCTACACACTCGCCCCAAATTTTATAATGTAAAAGGACAGAAAACATAGGACTTTTTTTTTTCCAAATGGAGAACTGAAACAGATGGGAAACTGAAGGAGCTGGAAACAGAACATGTAATTCCCAAGCCTCGTCTTTCTTGGCAAAACCGTACTTTGACTCCTATACTTCTATCTTTGAGCATCTATGCTGAGTGGTATGTGCCTTGGCATACTGCACGCAATGTGCTCTACAGTTGTCCTAGGTAAAATTGACATTTAGCTTAGTGTGGACACACTGCTGAGAGCTACTACATGCTTTGCTGTGCTGAGGCAGGGGGACAGAAATCAAATCAACATGCAGAAGGAATTTTAATCATCACTTAGCAAATTAAAAAATAAGGTTACTGTGGAGACCTTAAACTTGACATTTGGCATCTGAATCATGCCTTTCACTGTAAGCTCCCAGTCCATCCCACCAATTTCCCCATGGTGTAATACTGTTACAACCCCAGGCAGTATCTCTGCTCTGCCAAAAGCAGAGAACCACACCAAAGGCTGTATTTCAAGAGGAGGCAAAGTTCCTTATATCCTACTTACTATTATTAGATATGCAAAGTACTCCTCTAACATCTCATCTGGAGACCTCAAATCATTTTATGGACCTTATTTTAGCCTTTTGGTGACTCTGAGGCAAGACAGTTATCCCCATTTTTAGAGACTGGAACTTAAAATCCTTATCCTTGAGCCTTCTTTATCAGTCTTTGCCAGCATTGAGGATGGATTTTTTTCAGTCCCATGCTTTAATTGCAAGACAGAGCTTTCCAGATCCCTTTGCTATCCTTATGTGGGACTGTGTGCTGGGTTGGTTAGCATTTGTTGGTTAGCATTTCCCCAGGTTTAGGCTGGGGAAAAAAAAGTATGTGCTTGGGTTGGCCTTTCATGTCTGAGGAAGACAGTGTTAAAAAAAAGTCCTAAAGTTTAATTCATTGGTGAAAGAATATCACAGCAACAGGAAAGAGGAAGGGTAGGATGAAGGAGATGGTGGATGCTGCCCTGCTTTGAGGTAAAAGGGGCTGAAGCCCAGGGTCTCCAGAAGGAGCAAGCAGGGCTGGTAGCTTGTGAGGCTGAGACTGTCATTTGACATATAGAGCCTAGTGCCAAGGGAATACCTTCCCCAGGGGAGAGATGCTCAAGTATTGTGAAATTGGGCCATGAGGTGTTAATTGCTAAAAACTGTAGAAATTCAAATTTAAAGAGCTAGTACCTACTAGTATAGAATGTCTTGTACCAGAGAGCAAGCTGTCTTTCTGTCCTGTGGGTGAAGCCTCTAGTAGGGTATACAGCGTTGGATGGGGCAGAGCTGAGGCTCTGAATAATAAGGTTTTCATTGCCTTATCCCAGACTTCTCATAACCCTCTCCTCCCAAACAACCCGCTGTGACACAAAATGCAGTGCAAAAAGCAGAAACAAGAATGCAATGGGGGTACCAGCAACACCTCAAAGTTCACAGAAGCTGTAACAGCACTTCTTTGTAGGGTTTTTCCCGTCCCAGTGCTTAGTTTGTGACCCTTAGCAAGACTCCAGCTTATGGCAATATGGCTGTAGGCAAGCACATCCATGCAACTGTATTTGTCCATTTTATTTATTGAAACATAAGTCGTAACAGGAGCCAGAACTATGTGAGTGCAGGGTTTAAGCACTACCGCTCCCTCAAGGATTACATGTGTATCCTCTTCAAAATAAGAGATCACACAAATAAGACTGCAATGCTCTATGGAACAGCAAATGTGGAATACTAATCAAGTGCTAACATAATGCTGAGGTTTTAAAAAGCCTCAACTAAAGCCATGCACGAATGACAACAGACTATTCCTAGCTCTGCTTCAATTTGCCCAGATTCTCATGACTCTAGGAAGACTGTTTATACCCTTGCTATATATTTGAGTTACTAGCAAGCTTTGGCCAGGCGACAAACTCAGTGAGCACCCTGGCAAGCGTAAGCCTATCAGTCTGCTTCATCTGTGTTGGGGATCAACAGTTCTCTTCTCCAGGGCTGGGAGCAGGGCTGGGCTGGAGCAGGGAGGGCAGCACCAAGACTCGGCTTTTTCCCAGGATGTGGCAGTTCTGAAGTGGGTGGATGAAGACTATTTCTGGCAGTAATAGGGAGTGTTAGAGCACAAACCCCATGCTTGGACATTATATGCTGGTAGACTTAACTTGGTGTTGCTTTGGCCCAAGGCTTAGCTGACCAGCTCTCTGAGGATCTGGACTGTGAGAGGCTCCTGTAGCACAAGTGTCACGTGAGGATAATCCCATGTGGTTTAAAGCCCAAAGCAAGCTGTGTGGTTTTCTGTCTTCTAAACTGATCTTTCAGTTTGTCTTATGCTGGGACCACAAGAAATCTTACTTTTGCCAGCCAGTGATGGAATTGTGCATCCACAGAAAAATCATTGAGGGTCACCAAATCTGATGGGAGACAAGTTCTTAGCCCTGGATCGGAAACCTGACACAACACAGGAGCTCTGCAAGGACTTGGGTGGAATCTCTCATCCATGTTGTATGTCAAGTATGCTCTTTTCAGAGAAGACTGAGTGACTGGCTCATCTGCTATGCTTAGGAGATACTTTAAAAACATGGAAAACTTAGCAGTGTTCCTGAGTTAAGGAAGTTGGGGGGGAGGGGTGTTGTTTGTGGTTTGTGGTTTTGTTTTTTTTTTTAAACCGGTTAAACAAATCCACAACCTAAATGGCTTTTTTAGTACTTGACAAGAAAATCTATAGCAGAATGAGGAATGATTTTTCTCAAGTGCCACTATGGAGTGTTATACCTAAGACCTGCTCTTCTCACCTCCAGAGGCACAGGAAAACCGCATACCCAGATCAAGCGAAGATAAGTGAAGAGACCTGTACACTTGGCTCATTTCAGAGTCTTCTGGTCCTAATGTTCTGATTGAGGTTTCAACCCTCCCTTAGAAAATCCCTGTGTCAGCCCCAGAGACTCACATTTGACAATCTAGTCTGAAATGTGCTCTTAGAATGTTAGATTGGCCTTTTCAGCATGAGTCTGTGGTGTGTGTTTTTGTTCTATGCTATTTTGGGGATAAGGAACTGGTGAGAAGAAAATGCTTTCATCTGCTGGAGTGACTGTGTTGTCAAGCATTAAAATTATGGTTGGTACTAACTGTCCAGTGGGAGAAAAAACCCAAGGTTCTTATTTCTAGAAGACAGGTCAACTTCTGGGGAGGAGGCAGAAACCCAAGTCTTTTTCTGTCAGAAAGAAACCCATGCTGGAACTATTCAGTTAATTAGGCTGATTTGTAGCAGCCCCACTGTAAATCCTCTTTCATTCACAGGCAAGTTAAGCTCTCTGATGAAACATGCCATTCCAAGGAATTTCAGTAGGTTCTCACACATCTAACCATGGCAAAGTTATATCCAGGGACACACCATCTTAGAATGACATGGTATATTCAATTCTACAACATTACAGCCATTATATGTCGGAAAAGGGAGGCCAGCAAAAAGCCTTTCACCTCACTGTCACAGATTAGCCTTTTTCTTGCATGCTGTATTTGTTCAGCCTACTTGCAAATTAGAAACAGTGTATCTAAAACTGATTTAGAAAATAAAACAGTTGAAAGAGACTCTATGCAGTAAATGACCATTCAACCCAGAAGCATAACTGTTTTGCCAATGAAATGCAACAATTCTTAAAGGTGTAAAATTCAGCTTAAAGGCAGCATGTTTTATAGGGACACCTGTGTAATATGACCGGATGGAGAACCATTTGTTTTCCTCAAAGAGGAAGTTTTCCTGCTTGTTTGCCTGCAAGGCGGTTTACAGCAGAGCTGTGAGCCTTTCCCATGACCAAAGTGGCTGGGTGCCTGCCCTTGCCATGCCATAGTAACTCACCCTGCTGAGCTGGTCCAGGAGTCTTTGGTTCTGTTCGGAGAGTTCCTGGACAGCCCGTGTCTTCTCGCGGTCAGCTTCGCGCAGGTGAACCTGTTGCCTCTCCAGTTCATCCTGCAGCTGCTTCACGTCGCTTTCCAGTTCAGACACCCTTCCTTCCCATTCTCCTTCTCTGTTCTCAAATCGCCTCCTTAGTTCATGTTTCTCTTGTTCTAGGTGCTAGATAACGGAGGAGAAGACGTTAGGAAGGGAGGAAAAAAGTGAATGCTGCCTCTGTGCTTAGAGTTGAAATCTTCTGTGCAGGAAAGAGAATGGTATGAGAGCATGACAATACAATGGAGGTGGCAATCCCATGTCAGGGCAGGTTGTGTCACTGGCACTAAACTTATTTTCCATTTCCAGCACTTGGCCTGTCCTTGGCCTCTGGAGATCAGCACATTGAATTTTTACTGAAACAACTGCCAAGAGTCAAGCAGGCTGCATGTTCGTAGGCGGTATGTATAGGTCAGGCAGGCCAATTGATTTAACAGGGCCTAGCTTAACTCCAAAGCAGCATTTCAGTGGGCAGTGGCATAATTCTTTTAAAAATTGCCTTTATAGTCAAAACTACACAAACTACATCCCTATTGCTGATGAGGAATGTAGATGAGGCATCTTTCTTGTCATATGGGTCTTATGAACAACAGTTGAATCATTTATCCATTTGCTCCTTCCATTCCTGACCTAATTAGTTGTCTGAGAGTTTGACAGTGCACAGTAACTCTGCCAGTCCACTCAGGAATGGCAATGGATGCAATGAAGTAATTGCTATAGACATTACATACATGCACATTCTAGGTTGCAGGTTTCTTAAAAACCAGTCTCTGTTCTGGAGACCCTGCTCAGGACTGGCTGGAAAACGAGGCACAGCATGAATCTGGTGGAACTTTTGCATGTTTTACAGGCTCAGTTAAATGAGGACTTGACTGAAACAGAGCTGCAAATCAGGTCAAAACAGATTTATGTTGTGCCCCTTTGAAAGAATCCCCGCTCTGAAACTCTGAGCTAGAATTTCCCCTGGTGACTGAAGTCATGCTTGCAGAACAGTTACAGACTGGGGACATGGGCATATCCCAAGATTAGCAGGAAAACCTGAAGAGCAGGAGCCCTCTCCTTGTTGGTTGTGTTCTGTTCCCAGAATAACGTGCTGCTACTCTCTATTGGCTTCACCAGCCTTTTAGGAATGTGTCTTAGCAAAGAACAGAAACCCACTGGGCCTGGCACTGGCAGCACTCGCCTGTTTTCCCCAGGGTATCATCCCTCAGTGAGCAACCTCCATGGCACTTATGGTAAGAGGGGAAAATAAACCTGCTATGAGGAAAAGAAAATTGCATCGCATTTATGTGAAGTGTTTTTTTTATGGCTTGTTAGAAACACAGACTGTGAGGTGGCTGTTTCCCCTGGGTGCCTACTGCTGATGACACACAGCCTCCCTTGCAGGGTCTTTACCACCTTCCCAAGTGGGTCTGAATGTCAAAGTCCTCCAATTCTCCAGCAGCCCTCGGGCCTGCTTTATCACTAATCTGCTTCTTTTGCTCTGCAGAAGATGCCATGTTTTCTCTCTCAACTTTATCTCCAAATTCTTTCCTATGCTTCTTCCAGCGCAGTGTAGCAGCACTGCATGTGTCCTTAGAAATTCTTCTGCAAGTTCAGAACTTTCTGGAAAACCCTCAAATGCAAAGGAAGGCTGATTTAAAAACAGTGGCCCAAAGCAAAAGTATTTCCCTGTGTTTCAGACGCTAAAAGAGTGAGCACCCCTTGCAAATGAGAGCACTAAGTATTGTTATAATTATTTTTAATGCAATAGGCAAGCATGAGATCCCAGCACCAGGCCCATGACAACCATTGCAAAGAAATCTTGTTTGTACCCTAAGTGTGGTTGGAGCAGCCACAGTTTCACTTTTAGTGGCACACTGAAAATGCTGTCTTTTATAGCTCTGTCTCCTTCACTGCTAGGCAACGTTTAGAAAGATCCAGGGCCTTCTCTAAACGGAAGATGAAACTTCAGCCTGCTGAGGAGCAGCACTGCAACTGAAGTTCCCCAGACATACTCAAATGTGATTTAGAAGCCACCAATAAGCCTTGTCAATCATTTAAAAACCACTTTAGTCCTTAACTGCAAAAGAAAAACCACACTACACATAGCTCTGATAAACGGCCTTCACAAGGATTGGAGTTAGAGGAAGGCAAAGAATATCAAGTTTATTTTCTTGTGATGTAGAAACCAGAATAGTGCAGTGGGGTACAGAGAGGCTGTTGCAAAGGAGGAGGATAAACCAGATGGGGCACGCTGACCAATTCCTCCTGCCTTCGCCTGCCCTCACCCCAGCACATACACGGCTGCTGATCTGAATAGGGTTTTTTGCATGTGCTGAAGACAGGGCAAACTGCTGTCCTCAGTAGGGGAATTTCTTGTTTTCCAAGTGTCTCTCCATCCACCAGTTGCTCACTGATTTTTACACAGAACTGCTTTCTAGAAGATGTTTTCTTCTGAAAACAGCTTCTCTTCAATTCAACTGAGTTGGGCTGGTCCTTATTTAAAGAGATGAGAGCAAGGGGGAGTTTCCCAGCTGGTAAAGAGGGTTCATACTGCAAAATGCTTGGACATGGCAAGCTTCTCTGTGTCAGAGGAACAGAGGTATTAGCTGTTTTAATCCCTTACAGAGGATAAGACTGACTAGGATCACATATCAGAATTTATTTCAGGACTTCAATTCCATGATTAGAAATTAATTTGAATTCAGGCTGTGAAGTAAAAGAGTTGCCAGAGTAGGTGTATGGTAGGAACACTGCACTTCAGTAATGAACCCACAAAATTAGAACATATTTAGTCTTGAGGCAAAGCACCAGAGGAGTGGGCCAGCACATTGGCTGCTGGGAAATAAAAGGCTTCACTGAGCTCTTGTAACCAACTTTGAACTGTTAACTAGGAGAAAAACTCTCCTCCTAAAGGCTGCTTAAACATCACTATCAGGTGCAATTGTCTCCAAGGATCTCATCTGAGACTTTGCTTCTGGTCATCATCAGAAAGTTCTCAGCATAGGGAAGGAGGTAACAGATGTGGGTCCTTCCTCCCTGCTCCTCTGAAATTGAAAAGCTTATTGTGAAATTTTGTTCACTTCAGTGGCAACAGGACGCAGCCAACATTTAATCTGCAGTGGCTAGGATTATCAGGCTTGTGTTGTAGAAGATTAATGTTCAAGTTTGATTTTTTTTTTTTTGTGTGTGTGTGTGAAGTAGCACTGTCTTAGATCTGCCAAACCCAGCGGAAAAAATCTGACCCTTAAGTAGATAACACTAACTCCTATCAGATAGGTAGCCTGAAAAATAGCAATCTGTTATTCAACTGGAAAGTTAGAGCGATAGTAATGGGATGAAAAGATGTAAACAATTGGTTGCATTTACTATCCCTTCATTCACCTTCTGAATGGGCCCATAAAAGCAAAGGTAAACATTTGGGGGATGTTATTTAAAGTACTATAAAGTCATAGTTCCCCCTGTTTTTCACCTTTACATTTTTCAAACAGTGAGTGGTATTTGAGACTCCCTAACAGGCAGCTCAGCAAGTACCTAAACTTGTGCATTTTCCCTTTAACGGTATGAAAGGTTCTACTCCAACTCACCAGGAAAACCACGTCAGCACAACACCACGTACGTCTGTTCTTGCTTAAAGATCAACCTGAAAATATTCGCTCTGGCAAATTTTAATACTCTGGGAAATTCTAACCTGATAAATAGTTAATAACCTGACAACAATTTGAGCAAATGTCACCTTCGCTATTGTTTCTATCAGAATAGTAAATGCAGAGAGATTTCCATTAAAAGAGGAAGGGATCAGCTAAGGCAAAATGCTAAGTTTTAATAATAGAAAGGAATTTTGTCAGGAGAACAAAGGACATACAGTAATTTCACAAATCCTCTTGAACTTGAGAGATGTGAGTCCATGAGAAAGGAACACAGGAGAAAGAACTGGCCTAAGGCTGTGACTTGAAATTTGACTGTTAAGCCAGCACTGTTGAAAGTCTCTCCAGAAAGGTGAGAGAGGCTTTTTCTCAGCCTTCTAAGCAGTATTACTTGCTGGGAGAATTAAAATTTCAAGAGTAGCTCTGAGAAAAGGGGGGTGTAATAATGGCTCTCCTACATACTTGTGCAAGAGAGTTGTTCCAAAAGAAGCTGCCTGCACAAGTCTTTTTCTTTGTAATAGCTCTATTTCATCCCTAAAAATCAATAAATAGCTCAATCCACTGAGTTCCTGGCAAACAACGCTCTCCAGATACATGTAGGTATTTTTCAGAGCAACCAGCTGACAGAGACATATCACTAGGGCTTATCTCCTGCCATGCCTAATGCCTTAGCTGCAACAGCTTAAGCACAAGGGTTACATATGCTCTGTAGCTCAGTACCTGCTCTATAAATTTAACTTCTGAGGCATTTCTGTGACAAGATGAGCCGAGCACAGTGTACATCTCACCCAGGAGGAGACCTGGGCCCTGGGGCAAAACAGCACCTACAGGAACCTCTCGAAGCAAGGTGCTTCAGCCTGTCCCTAGGCCGACAGGCCAGCTCGCAGCCAAAGAGGGGCAAGAACGGCAGATTTGCCTCCCCCAGGCCTAAGAATGTTTTTAGACCCTTTCTTCCCCATCACGGCCACAGGGAGTTCCGTGGGCTCCCCGGCAGGGGCCCTGCCTGCC